TAAGGAGGAAGGAACTTAAGACTTTCAACAGAGTTTACACACTAAGAATCACAAGTTTTTTATGCATATTTATTACTATCTTAAGCAAGAATGAGTGAGTATTTATAGGCCCTAAATGACTTCAAAAATAGAGTCAAAAATACTTCAAAAATCTTCAAATTTTTGAGATATTGATAGTACTACCGCTAGTGTTGGGCAGTACCACTGCCTGCAACACTGAGCACTAACGGTACCACCACTAATCTAGGTGGTACCAGTACCTGACACAATCTCGAAGACTATATTCTGGTAGTACTATCATCAGTCTGGGTGGTACCACCGCCTAACACTAGTGGTACTACCGTTGGGTCTTCCAAAAATATACACTTTGTACTTTTCGGCTCATAGACGGTTCCATTGCTTGACCTAATTGTAAGTCATTGAATGGGCCTTCCAATATGCTCAATTTAGCCTTGATTTAGGCCTAAAGGGCCCTTAATTGAGTTAGTATAGTTACACCTAAAACCAACTCAATTAAAACCTAAACTACGATGATCAAGAAATAAATGATTACAAAACATGAATCTTATGTTGTTCGGCATGTCATTGGTTCATCCGAACTCTCGGTGCATCATGCTTTCCTTCGGCGTATTGCCCAATCCATTGGCATGTTGACTCATGCAACATCCGATCTTAGTGTAATGCTCGATTCTTCCAGCCCAATGTCTGATTTTCCTACTTCAATCGATTTGTCTTTTCATGATCGAAGTTAGTCCTATATCGCTTTTCTTAAATGGTGATTAGATTATAAATTCATTAATTGATTTCATCATCAAAATCTAAGATTCAATAATCTCTCCCTTTTTTATGATGACAACCAATTGATGATGAAGTTTTAATTAAACTTCCCCTATCTATATGCCATATATAAATAAACTTGAATTTATAAAATGATAACCTTAGAATTCAACTTAAAACAATTTTAATAATTTTCTTTGTAAAGATCATATGCAAAATAATTATTTCACACTTCATATACATAGTTAAAATAACATTGTGTACGAGTCATATGCATCATCATAATATCAATGTATGAGTTAAGATTCCAAATGATTAAGGTGCATAATTCCAAAACATAAAAATTTCAAATCATCATAACTTTGGTCATAACTACAAATCAATATGCATGATTTCAAAACATTAAAATTTTAAATCATCATTACTTCTCCCCCTTTGTCATCAACAAAATGAAAAAAAGTGCAACTAGCAAGTTTTTGAAACATACAAGCTAAGTTAGCAAGTTTACTTCTCTTTGGAACATGCAAGCTAGCAATTTTTTGAGATGTACAAGTTAGTAACTTTTTGTTTCTCTTGAGATGTGTAAGTTAATAAGTTTTGCTTTTCTTTTGAGATGTGTAAGCTAGTACTTCTCTTTCTCCCCTTTGTCATTATCAAAGAAAAAAGAAGAGAATTATACAATGGTAGAAAATCAATATTCCAATCTTAACATGAAAGATATCAAAGATAAGTTCAAATCGTGAAAGATTAAGTCATGAATACTCATATAGATGGCTATTGAGTATCGATAGAGAATCATCCACTTTTGATGTTATGAGAGGAATATTCTATGTATTTTTGCTTAGGTAAATCCCTGGCTATGATTATTCAGATTGAGAGAGAAAGAATTCTCTAGGAGAATCCAATTAGAGCGAGACTCAAGCAAATTTCATATGGGCTTGATAGCACCATACATAGTATACAATCTATGAGATATTAGATGGATGAGGAACTATAGATATATAGAAACTGAGGATAAACAAGTATAATGGATTGAATTTTTCTATATCATTTGGGGACTATGGCTAAGTGGTCTAATACATCCGTAGTCGATGAATCGAGTGAATTATTATGAAAACATAATTAAAACCCATATTTTAATTTTCATTATATATATATACCCTACTAAAAAAATTTAAATTAAGTAAGGATATTAGATCATTTAATTAAAATTTAACTATTATTAAGAGTTTATCAACTGTAGGAGCTAGGATTAGAGTAAACTTATTTTTTGGGTTTGTTGCATATAAAACTTATTTGCTTAATATAAATATGGAAGCCTATGCTTGAGGTGAGAATAAGAGGGAGAGGATAACCCACCCGAAATAGAGAAAGGGACTTGCAGATAAAAATTAGAAATTAGGGAGAGAAAGAAACAACATCAAGTCACTACCGAGAGGAAGAGCTCATGAGAAACGACATAAACTTCTTTTCCCCTCTCATCTCTCATCTTCTCTCTTATTTACCTCTAATTTTTTAATGATTATATAAAAGTTTTGGTTACCAACATGTTATTAGAGCCTTATTAGAGAAATACTATTAGAGAGAAATACATAAGAGAGAGAGAGAAATAATAGAAATAAATAAAAGACTAAGGAGAGACAAAATAGTAGGGAGAAAACTAAGGAGAAAAAAAAAATCGCTAGAAAGAGAAAATCAAGGAGAGAGAAATAAATGAAAAAGAAGCTTAGAGAGAGAAACCAAAGAGAGATCTTAGTATCTTTGATCTTAGTAACCATAAAAAATAATAAAATCAAGAAGGTAAAAAATATATTCGATTGCAATAAGGAATATACGATTAACAAAAGAGATCACCATGATGTTAACAACTGACTGACAAAGATCTCATTGTTCAAAACAAATCAACTTCAAAATTATGAAATTGAAGCTATAAATGATGATTTATTTGACTTTTTCTAATCTCTTTACTATCTAGATTTTATAAAAAAAATATTATTGGAGATAAAAGATTGTGATGAAAGCTTTCCTTATTTCATTATTATCTAGATTTTATATAAAAATTAATTCACCAGGAAAATAAGAGATGGCTTTAATGCTTGAAACTCTAAAACTATCAAACAAGTAGAAAATATCACAAAATAAGTTCTTCAAACATCAAGGGATAGTGGAGTCATATATTTCATCCATAGAGGTGAAAGCTGGAGTTATGAGGCAGCTTTAAGGCCCTCAAATAATGCTAATGCTTGTGTCATTATTGGGCTTGAGGTAAATGTAGCTGCTACCTCCCATCCATAGACATTCATTTGAGACATTATTTATTATAAATTTAATGCCAATATAATAGGTAGAGATGGAGAAGAAAATGATCCATCAACTTGAAGGGAACATGAAATATCCATGTCTTACTTATGGGGGCTTTATCCATATTTGTCCAAATCATGGCCTTTGGAAAGTCAGTGCTTAGAAAAATAGGAGGGTAGAAATTGGAATGAAAAGTCGATTCAAGATTGGATTCCAAATAATCTGAGAAAAAAAAAAAAGTCAAAGAGAATATGTTTAGAATAATCCAAATGAAAGTGAGAAACATGACATGACATGACATGAATCCGATTGATAAAGGATGATGATATTTGAAATATAGTAAGAAGTAGGAAGTCTATTTCAGTATAGTTTTCAAAAAAATCTTGATTTTAGAAAGAACATTCAAATGTCAAATGATTAACGACCAAATCAGAAGTGTCTTTATTGAAATTAAGTGGGATGTAGATATTGAAATCAAATGATGAGAGGGGTGAAAAAGAGACTCAAGACAAATAAATTATATTAAGGATGATATCAGAGACTAAGTCATAATTCTTCATCTCCTTAGGTTGGCCATTTATTAATAGGTATACATACTGTCTTCCCAACTCGATATAGTAAAACTATTAGAAATAAGATTCTAAAAGTCATCTTTTAGATGAGAGGGCATTCTTATAATGGATTGATTTAAAAGAGTAAGAGGCATTGAATTTAGAGGTTGATTTCAAAAGGGTCGAAGCTATTATTATATTTCTATAAAAAAAAAAAAATTCTATTGAGGATGTGGATATGTCACTTAGCAGAAATAATTTTTTTGATAAAAATTATTTATCCGAACTTAGGAAGAATTATGTTATCCTAACTTAAAATGTATATATTTTTTGGACTGTGAGAGTCATTCCAAAAGAAAATCTGTGTATGTATAGATCAAGAATTATGATTAGCACTACTAAAAAACAAGAAGAATTAAGATGGGAGAGCTTTGTGCCTCTTTGAAAAAAGAGGATGATTTTATTTCTATTGATAACTTTAATAATTAGTCATTTTACATTGTTGATGAACATGATTTTGGTTGTGATGCCACTAATATAGCAAGTGAAAACATAAATTTTATTAGTAGAGTAAATAATTTTGTTCATGTTGGTAGCATAAAGAAGGTATGTAGAAAAGGAGATTGCAAATTCAGATAAGTTGATAGATGAGGTGTAGAAGAAGTTGCTGATGTTAAAATGAAAAGAACTGCTTTTCAAGATTCGAAATAAAAAATTTTGTAATTGATAATTCTAACAGCTTGATTTTTATTTGAAGATTTGTTTAAAATTAGTTCGAGACAAATCAAAATTTTATAATTGATTAAAATAAATAAAATAGATTGATCAAAAATTATAAAATTTTACAATTGTATGATTCAAAAATTCAAAGACTCAAAACCAATTTTTTGCCAATTCACAAAGGTAGACAAGACTGCAAATATGCTTCAAGATTTAAAGACTCCAAAGAACACTACAGATCATAACTTGCTTCTTTTTAATTTTATTTTAGGGTATAATATTCAAATACTATAAATAAGAAGCTAATGTAACATATTAGATTCATCAATACAAGAAGAGAAGAAGAAATGAGGTAGAATCATGAAGGGCCAAAAGATTCATGATTTTGTAAGTTATTATAATTAATGTGTTTTTATTTTTATTATTTTTTTAATCATAATAACTTACAAAACCACAAATCTCTTTAATCAAAATATATTTTGTGCTTTTACATAAATATATTATTATATTTTCTCTTTTCAAAAATTCATCCAACCTATTATCTCACTAGTCGACGTCGTATCGGTTCGATAAACAATACAGTGATCGAAGAGCTCATCGATCCAATATTTGATATCCTTTTAAGATTATGATACATGTCCAATTTACTATATTAGTATATCACAATTTGGGCATAAAAAGTGTAGCAGTGATTTATTCATCTCAATTGTTCAAACTCAAGGAGTGTTTGGATTCGGTGGACATGAATCACACAATCTACTGATATCTATATTCATCAATGTAGCCATGATCAGACTTACCCAAGGAAGCTTCATTTGATCTTTTATATCTTATGATCCCAATGGTTGTCATGCAGATTTCAATGGAACAGCAATGTCTTGGTTGCCCAGAACTGATCCATTGTAGCCATTGGAGATGTCTCCATTGCGACTGTCATCATCTGAAACGGCCGCATCAACATGATGAGCTACACTGCGACAAGTTGAACCTCCCAGCTCCGAGGAACGACCAGGCCGGCCTTTTTGGGCGGCGGAGCGAGTGCTCTGAGGGAAGGGGGAGGTCCCGCGGATGCCACCCGTGCTTTGTTTGATGTCCTACAACAAGGTAGCAAGAGCTCAGTGAGCCTCATTCATGCAGCAGATCTGCTAGCGGAAGGAGCTCACCGTGGTGTTCTTGAGAGCTGGCTTCGTGGCTCGCCGGGCTGCGGTCTCCGATGCCGTGATCAACTTATGGTTCGACCGAGCGTTCGATGTGTTCTCTTGAAGCCTGCCTCTGCTGACGAGGGGCGAGGAAGACTGCGTCGACGCTGTTCCTGGTCGTCGTTGCCTGCCGGTGGATATGGCACGCTCAGGCGGCTTCGTTTGTGTTTGAGCTCGGCCTCGTGGTGCCGGGGAGGTGCTTCGAATGTTTGCAGAGGCTACTGCTGCTGCTGCTGATGCACGACGAGTAGGAGTCGATGGCCGGGAGTTGGTTCGAGTTGCGGCTGCGGCGGTCGAGCTGGTGCTCGGAGCAATGGAGCCGATCTGAGGTCGAACAGTTGGCGAAGAAGGCCTACTATTCTGTGAAGACCGTGATGGGGATGATCGAGAGGGCGTGAACGGAGTCATCTTTGTGTTCGACCGATGGCCGGGCGTCGAAGGCTTGGAAGTGACGGAGGCTGTGCTGGTGTTGAGGAGTGCTGTTTGCCTGCTGTTAGAGAAATGGGTGAAGGATGAGTGTGCGTTGGGCATGGAAGGCCGCATTGCTGAGCTACTTCTTGCAGGCTTAGCAGAGTTGTCTTTCTCTGACTGAGACACAGATAACTGCAGGAGAAATCATTTTAATTCAAAGACAACTGAACAACAACAAGAAATTATATATGGATCTTTTATCATCACAAGATAATATTCTGATTAAATTAAAAGGATTTAAATTTTACTTTCTAGTTTTTAATATATTTTTTCTTACACCACTAATACTAATTATATATTTACAGGTCAATGAACAAAGTTCATATAATCTTAAACGATATATCTAATTATTTTCTCTTATCTTTTCTACTAACTTTGCGCATCCATTTTTATATTCCGACACGCATCGATACCTAACGATCACCTTACAATTTTTTATTCTAATTAAAAAATACAACTAGATACTGTAGATAATTAGGTTTAGGAAATTTAGGTGTATGAATTATAGGAGATGTTCAGGAAATTTGGACAAAGTTTGCATGTTAAGATCAAAATTCTTCAGATAAAAAGTTGGAAAAGAAAAGGAACTCACCTTTGATGCTTTTCCAGTGGAAACAGATCTAGCATTGGATCTGCTCCTTGGTGTCACCTTGGATGTTTGCTTGTCAGAGTAGGAAGAAACAGGAGTTCCAGGAGGAGTGAGAAGCCTGTCAATTCCTAGTTTCAGTGGTAAATGGGTTCAACTTGAAACTTAAAAGCAATGTAGAACTCTCTGCATCATTTATATACATGAGATGTATTATCAGATCTTGAAATTATTAGCTATAGCAGAATGGATCTTGTTTGTTGTGCACTGTGAAAAGTTGGCTGAGTGCAATTTTACAGTGACCAAAAGGGAGTGGCTTCAGCTACACAGTCCATGGAAGATATACTGAAGACTGTTCCTGAATTTTCTTAGATTCACTTTTACATTAGAAATGAAGATTTGGTAGAGAAATGTTAATTTGTTTTTCTTGTGGTTCAGCTTCTTTGTCCACATTGTTGGATTTACTGCCTATATTTTTCTAAAATTCTAGATATAACATGCTGTTGCTGCAAAAATCATACCATCTTATCTACAATTTAGGAAAGAAACTACAATTCTTGAGATTAATAAGCAGTATGAATTTGATTACAAAGTGTAGATATCAAAAGTCTTGTATCTAAAACCTCTGCAGGTCCAAAGAAACTAAGATTTAGATGAAGGAAAAAAGCATATCATATCCAGTTTCATTTGATCTCTCAGTGCAAGAAGAAGACATACATCTAAATGGTTAACATGGTTTGAACAAGGCTCGGCTTATGGTTATGTTACCAATCATAATCATGCTTTCCAACCTCAGCAGATAGCAGGTCATCCATTCTGCTCTTTGCTAAGGATTCCATCTCTTTCCTTTCTTCAGCAGCTGATACTCTGCAACAATCACCACAGCAATCCTTCTTCAAATGACCCTACAGCAGAGCTTAAACATCACTTGGTGCTTTAAATCCCATCAACTAGAAAAAATACATCATAGATTTACCAAAGTTAAGAAGAAAGCCAGTAAATCCAGTTCGATCTCAGATTGAAGGTATTCAAAGAGAAAACAAGATCCTCACCTTCCTTCAGTCCTCCTCCAACCAGTGTACCAAATGTGACTCGAAAGCCTCAGCTGCACATCTAAATTCTGTCCTCTCCGACACCAGAAGCTCTTCAGAAAGAGAAATAAGACTGTGAAGGAGGCAAGGGAGGAGCATTAAATGGATCAGAGGAGAACCTGTGAGAGTGGATATGTACTTGGATATTAACTGATTCCTATGCCAGTTAGGGTTCTTTCTCAAAGTTTTACCGCTTTCTTTTGCTTTGTTTAATGCTGACAAAAAACAACATGATGAGTGTGAGTTGATCTTTCTTTGTTGATTTTTCTCTTGGTTCATTTAATGGAACATCATTTGTTCTTTGATGACATGTAAATATAAAGAGCTTATTCATCTATAATTGTCTAGATTGACCAATTATCTCTTATTTTCTCTCTACATTCATCTTCACTGTTGAAACTTGAGGCCTTTCAGAATGATAGATATCCAAAATATCTGACACAAGTAACTCCTGTTAAGAGATTGAAAGGAATCCTTAACTGAAGGACAAAGCTCTTTTCATTGCATGAATTATGTTGGACAAATGTTATGTCTGATTGATATCCAAGTATTTATTGATAACCATTTTGGGTTCCGTTATATGGATCTTTTACCGTCATCGAGTTGATAACGACAAGCTACACGAAATAATTTAGCTGGCAGATGAATCCTTCCATTAATTTCCGAAAAAGAAAGAAGCTTGAATCAACTAAAATTCTACTATACTTTTTGTTGTTTCAGTCAGTGTGGCCTCACTGAGAATCTCAAATGTGCATACATGACAAAGGCAATTGCAGAGTTCCTCCACAAGTTGGGTATCAGATATGGAACACAACACCAGCTCATATGGTGTTCTTGGGATCAAAAAGGAACTGAAGTAACTTTTGATGCAATGGGTAAAGAACTGATGCTAGTCCTGAAGGACAATAAATGATGAGAATGTGGGCACAGCACTTGTGTGGTTCAAACCCCCTGATGATACTTTCCAAGCCATCTTCTTATGTGATTGGGGGAGCTACCTTAGGTCTCAGGTCTCTGGTTCATCAGACAAATTCATGTGCCATGTCTGATGTCTCCATCTCTAAGCGTCCTTATTGTGTGAATAATTTGGATTTTGGACTGGACTACTGATGCTGTGTCGTAAGCCAATCTAAGCTCATCTTAGGACTACTGGTCCTCCACTCAACAGTTGATCCAAGCTTGATCATGGTGGCCATGTCTCTTTTGGATGAGCTACATCGATCGATCGGATGCTTGTAGGCAGCTTCCTGATTGTAAATCCTCTGCCGAATTCGGGTTTTCGGGACTACTTTGCGGTTCTACTGATCAGACTCTCTGCTTATTTCAATATCTGATCGCATTGCAGGAAACATAATACTTCAAATTGAGTTGATCTCATCTGTATCTACAAGAATCATCAGCTCTTTTGGATCTTTGTTTCAGACAACAAATATGCACTCTCACTCCCAAAAAGAAGGATTGCTTGGTGTTTTCGGATCAACATGCTACAATTAAAACATTGCAGAAACTGTTCTTGACCAATATTTTCCTCTTCTTTGATGTAACAATGTTCACACATCAATTCGAATTATGGAGAGAGAAAGCAACTCTTAGGTAAAGACATTGTTAGTCTGATGCTTTGGATCATTGATTGTACAATTCTGGAGCCATCAAGGTTGTATGCAGGATGAAAGTATGTATGTCAAGAGCCAATACAACCTCTATCTGAAAGGAAAAGACATGCTTCATTCAGATCAGCACTACAGTTTGCAACTTGTGAACAAGGAGGCATGGGGAACCCTTGTTTCTTTGCCACCATCAAGGATGGGATCACAGTGATAGAATGTGACCACCCACCCCTTCTTTTGGTTGCCACTGCCACAAGATCCAGGACTTGTGATCTCAAACAAGTCATAGATAAAGATGAGTTTCTCTTCAGTATTAAAGAGCACAAAATGGTTGTTCATGAGCTGTCATAGATAGCATTACAAGTCAAAATTTTTAAGCTAAGATCATCTCATCTGATCATATCAAATTCTATCTGGTTTGATTGGAACTCTTCTACTGTCTCATCTTAGGTAGGTTACTTAGAACTGAGACAGGAAAGGTAAAATGCACATGGCAAGAAGACTCCCACACCTGTTCAAATGTTTCTTTGTTCATTGTATATGACAAGGTTTCACAGACCAATAGAGAAAAAGGAAAGAAGAAGGCAAATGAAACTGGATCTATTTCCTTCCACATGGAAATAAGCCTCATTCAAATCTCACATCCTATCATGTGTTCATCTGTGTGTATGACAATTTTCCCCAGAAGAAGCCAAAAAGAAGGAAGATTGAAGGAAGGCAGCTACATGGAACAATGTTCAAGTCTGTTCACTGCACATGGACAAGAAGGACATTGTTGGCTTTTAGACAAATAAAGCTCTCAAGTCAACTAAAAGCTTGAAGTTTGATTTCAAAAAATTAAATAAATGTAGCCAAATAACTTTTGTTTTTAAGAAGAAGAAGATTGAGTATGATCATTAATTTAGTAGTAGATTATCATACTTAAAAATATTAATTAATAAATATATCTTGACTACTGATAGCAAAGTATTATGTATGATTCCATCCTGTCTTTGCTACTATGTATGGAGATGAATTCAAATGAAACACTAAGAAATCCACCTTATAAATCTAAAAAAAATTTAAATGCTTTTATTGTCATGCATTACATTAAACTCTTAATCTAAAAATATGTGATTGTTTGAGGTGATGATGGAATTGAGGTCTGAATTCTCTCATTAGAAAAATTCTAACTCGGCTTAATTCTTAAGTAAATACGTTATATGACAATACTTTTTTATTTTATTTTTTTTCATTGCTATCCATTATACATATGGCTAAAATTATTAATCATAAATTCATAATCTCATCACTATATTATTAACCTTTGTAAGTTTATTGGCACTCCTTGTGTCTCGTAATAATTCATTTAACTAATAGTGTCAGAGTTCAATCGAAATGAGATGACTAATCTATTAATTTTATCGAGTATAAATTATTAATTTAAAATATTTAAACTAAAATTAATAATAGTTCTTCGCTTATGAAACTAAATTAGATTGTAGGAATAAAGATGATAACAAATTAAATTTTTTTCGATATTATCATCAATTTGACTCACTTAAACTAGATTTAAAGATCATTCAATGAGATTTGAGATGGGTTTAGTCTAAATACATATATGAATTGACCCAACCCATTTGACTCTTGACTAGTATCTATCTATGATCGGGTCTCTCTCACAAAATACTCAGTTTTGACTGTTGACTCGTGTTGTAGCTGCCAATCCAAAGTCAGAAATTACGGCATGGAAGTCACACCGAAAGTGACCATCTGATGCGTCGAGGAAATATTATGAAATGAGGAAAATAATAATAATCATTCTCATCTTTCATGATAATTCACTTTAAATACTATCAAGAAGAAGAAGAAAAATCTTTGAATAGCAATCACAATTTGTTTATAAGATATTTTCTCTTTTTTTTTTTGTCTTTATATTGTTTTCCTTATTACAATGTGTTGGAATGGGTGATGTGTCATAATCAATATAATATGATATTGTACTTAAAGTGCTTATTCCGAGTTATTTCCAATTTTCCAAGAGTTATTTGGTCAACACCAATCTTTGCTTTCTGATGTTTTTCTCCTTTTAGTCTAATCATTTATCGGACAACATAATATTTTTGTGAATTTTCAAAGAAAATGACATCTAATTTATAACGATCATTATTTTCTTTTATTTCTTGCTTTGAATCTGACAAAAAAAGGATTCATACCGATGGTGAATATATGTTCTCCACAGTGGGATAATATTAGAAGCTTATATTATAGTCAATGAAGTCAAAGTCTTTGTAGGTATTTGCAGGAGTCAAGCTGCAAGATGACAGGTATACGCATTCATATAGAAGACATTGACGTGAAATGTGGGTAGAGGATTCACATGCTTGATTACTGTATAATTCTTGCTTGACCTAACAATGGAGGAAATGTATAAATGAACACAGTTTGGATTTTTTTTCTTTTTATCTGAAAAAAAAATGGTTATGATATGATCCATATGGAGACAAGAAATGTGATTTTTTTAGGGTTTTTTTCGTTAAGGTAACATATATAATATAGATAGATGAAAAAAATAATTAATTATCAATAATGATAATAAACTGAATCTTCTATAGAAAATGATATCTTTAGTTAATTAAAAAATTAATCTTTTACTTATAATTTCTAATAAGATTTTGTTACATCGTGTTCAGTTCTACATCTCCTTATACTATTAACATTAATTATTTGAGAATCTTTCTCTCATATATGTTTCAGTAATACTAAAAATTTCTAAGAAAACTTGTAGAAAATGTTTTTTTATCAAATAATTAAATTATATATTTTTTCATATTCCTAGCTATTTTTTTATGAAAAAAATAATATTTCTTTTATAGATAATATATTGAAGCATATATACAAGACTCCTCAATTTAGGCTAATTAAATATTATCCTTTTATAATTAGTTATCTTTAGTGATCTTTATACTTTCAAAGATTATATTAAGTTCTTTATACTTTGGACGAAAGTTAAATATTTAATCCGTTGCTCCTATAAAATATCTCTTTCTTCTTTAATTTTTAATCCTATAAAATAAAATTTTTAATCTTTTTACATAAATATCAATGTTTCACTTTTATAAATATAGAGATTCTAATATAACTTTTAAAATTATTTATAGCTAATTACTGGGGTAATACTACCCCTTAATTTTTCGGATACCGACATATATTTATTGGTCCGAATAAGAGAAATTTTTATTTTTTTTTTATATTTTATTCAATTAATATATCGATCCAATAGATTATCGAAGTCGATATTAAAATTTTAAGAAACCTTGAAATAAAAACTTACTCTTAGGGTGATATTAAAGTTAGACTCACAGCATTCAAAGTCAAGCTACGTTGGCATGCACACAGCGGTCACTCTCAATGCTCACCTCACCTTAACAAGGGGCTTCATGGCGACTTCCCCATTTCCCATTCCCACCAACCTCTGCTGCACCACCGCCATGAAGCGATGCCTGAGCTCCGACATGGCGGCGGAAGAAAGCTACTGCCTGAGCTGGCGGGTCGCCGTGGAGGCCAACAATGCCCGCGGCTGGCGTACGGTGCCGTCGGAGTGCGTCTGCCACGTCGAGAGCTACATGCTCGGAGGTCAG